ATGAACAGTGCTGAATATAAGACAATTTTGTGATTCCAATATGAGAAACTTTGATTAGAAGTTCCTACTTATCCTTACGTAGTCAAACAAGCATGTTTGTTCGAAAATGATAGGACGTGATGGGTACCAATCAACCTCTATATGTCATCCATACAGAATGATCAGAGGACATGATCATCCTGATCACCTCCAAGAAGGTCGGTGGTGATCGATCATCAGTTTCATAATTCTTCACGTCAATTCGAATTTTAATTGGGTGATTGATTAGATCCTTCATCTAACTGCTGCCCGTAGGAATTTTATGGTACACGATGACATTAAAAATGTGAGTTAAAGTGGCTCTTGTTGGTAATTAGGGAGATAGACATATTTTATTTGCCAAGACAAAAAAGAATTGTGATTAAAGGGACTAATTTCAAAATAGAACTTCATTAGCTTTCGTGTGTATATAAATGAGCCAATTAAGTTAAGGGCAATTTTTTTTTTAGTATAATCGGTATTTTACATTAGTTTATATTAAAGGTGAACTGAAAAGATTTAAACTTAGGACGTAATAGCTTGACGAAGAATTTTTCGACTATCAGGGTAAAAGAAATGCTTATGGAACTATCCATAGGTTATCTGTCATCCCATGTAGTTTTTATCACAATATTTTATAATATTGGTTCGAGAATTGACATTAAACTGTGAAATGACAGAAAGTTAAACTTTTTAAAGAATCTGCTTAGTATTTCTCGTTACATGATCCACCACTTATAAGTTAAGATGGTATTTCAATTACCAATTAATTTAATCAATGTTACTAGATGAAAAATCCATCGACAAGTTGGTGAATTTTAGGATAAGGCATTAGGGCAAAGGGGAACCACCCAAGATTTGATGTAAGAAGGAGGGGGTATATGTAGTTTTGGGAGGGAACACACGCACTACCCAGTGTTAGGTGTTAATTTTCCCCGTAAAAAATTAAAAAAAGTAAGGAGTCAAAGAACAAAAATTAGGCAGTGAATCACGAACAAGGGAAGAAAGACCAACATCCCGACGATCGATCAGTCGGCCAATAAGAAAACGAAAGCGACGGCAGTCATGCATGCATGCGTGAGTGCATTTTTGCTCACCATCCTCAAGTGGTGGTAATGCTCACCACCCATTTATAAGTTTATAACCAGCATATGAGTTTGAATTTTGAGATTTGTGCATATTCACTACATGAATCTCGAAATTCAAACTTATCTAACGGTAGTAAATAGAGTGATCAGCATACACTATAGTTTATGATGGTGGGCAAAAATACTCTCATGCATGCATGCATGTTGGAGGTTGGAGGTTGCAAATTGGCGAATTACGAAACGGCGGACTGAGCCTTGACGTGCAGATGGGTTCGCTCTCACATGCTCTTGTAGCCACAATCCAACAAATGCAATTAAGCAGCTAGCTCTCACCCCCATGTGTGCACTGTGTTATCTACCTCACTCTCGTCTCAATCATGTAAGAATTCATGATTTATATTCAAACTTCAAATTACATAGACACGTCTTGTGATAAACTCTTATATCTGTCATGTTGTGTATTTGATAAAATGCTAGTTGAAAGACAATTTACAATGTAAACTCGTTAGGTACTGACCCTTTTCTTGAAATATTGACACTGTCTCAACTCACTATCCCGTTTTAGTAGCTACTACTTGCTAATGATTAAATGGCTAATAATATCGCCAAAATTCAAGTAACTATTGATTGATCATATATAAATAATGGTTAATATAAAGCCCTACCTTACCTTTTAACTGCTGGCATTTGCAAAATGCTAGGGTTTCATGTTAATAAACCAATTAATCTTATACAAATAATATTTAATGTATAACCCTCAACCCTATCTATTCACTTGTTGCATTTGGAAATGTAGGTGATAATTACCAAGTTGGAAATAATATCGGTGTGCAAGTGATAATTACTAAGTTATGGATAATATCAGAGTTGTATGAAGTGGACATTTGACCCGTCTCTCAATAATTTGACATTATTTTCTATTCAAACACATGACCAGAGTGGCCGGGGTCCATGCTCATGTGGATCTCCATACTTTGTTCATGTGGAGCTGGAGCCTTTAGAGCTTGCTAAAACTGTTTCAAACAGCCAAATATGCCATTGCAATCTATGACTGATCGAATTTCTCATTGACGCCAGTAGATAAAAAGATGTATATAGAATCCAAGCAAGGTAGGGACTGTTTGGGAACCAAGTTCCTCTGAGGCTTTTGGACTTTGTTGTCACAACTTTTCTTTGGATACAAAGGGAATGGACCACAATGCGACACGAACCACACTGATATACATATATACATATATACGTATATATATGTGTATATAAATTAAGAGTCCCCCCGATATGGCAGCACTTGAATTATAAGGTCCTAAAACGCCAGGCCTTTTCAAGTTCGAACTTATCTCAGTGTAACACACACACACACACACACACATATATATATATATATATATATATATCTCTTTTTGCAGCTAAAGAAGAAGCCTCTGCATATGCAATGCATGACTAATTGATCGTTTGCTGCTGATTATTCCGAACTTTAGCCGTACATTAGTGCCGTCAGTCCATATATAAAAATTTACTCATTCATTGATCGGGTTTTCAACGAGTTGTTTTAACAATAATGTTATTTAGACTCACAAAACTACTGATGTTAATTACTGCATGCTCTTTAATAATATAGATGAATTCACCATTGTACGTAAAATATGTTAGCAATATTGTCAATTTATGTAAAGATAAATGGGTGATTAGGTTGGACTGGAGATGAGTAGGGTACACCATAAAGAACATATGGTAGTGTCCTTGTGCGCGTGGCTTCATTCTTGAGCATACACGGGGGCCATGCTAACCTTCTGGTCCTAAGTTCTGCAGGCACACCACCTCATGATACAAAATCAAATCTTCTGAATAATGAAACTATGATTATGTACTGCGTGACTTAATCGGTTCCTTTCAATATTACATGCGCCCTAGCTATTTCATAACCAAAATTTATTCAGGTGGAAAATTTTCAGTAACATAAGTGTGTGTGTGTGTGTATACATACATATATACATATATAAAAGAATCGAGAGATATCAAAAGAAATGTTGTGCAAGTTGGAGAATTGGCTAGGTTTTTTGGACCAAAACAATAAAGGCGTGGTGCAGATGAAAATAAATAAGAAACAAAAATGCATCATCAAAAGATGGAGAGAGCAAGGGAGGAGGTGGTCATGCTGCCGTGGTCTAGAGTAGCGTGAAAAACGAACACGAAAGCCAGAGGGATGGACCAGCTGCGGCTTTGGGACCATTATTTGTTTAATTAGGGTAGGGTTGCAGACTTGCAGTTGAAGACTATTGAGGGCCATCGAGAGAGACATTGCATGTAAATGAGACTTTTGTTCATCCAATCCAATGATAATACAATGATGTTCAAAAAATTAAAGAAAGAACAAAGCCACCATCGATAGTATATAGATATATCTAACTATGAAAATGAAACTTTCTTGCAACCAGTACACCGTACCATATTATTTGTTTGATAGACATTTGTCATGTATTTAGACAGTGAATCATCCATTTAAACGGTGCATCATTATAGAAATTTATCATGTGTTTAAATAGTAACTCAATTTACTTATAAATTCATGTAAAGTTCTTCCTCCCATTAATGTGGGATTTATTCTCAACATATTTCCTCAAGTGTGGCGAATTTTTAAGTCAAAGACGTGGACAATACAACTAAAATAACGTGGATCACGTGTGGCCGTTGGACTTTACACATGAAACAATCTACTCCAATACCCCGAAAAAAAAGATATATTTCGTTTGTAACTAAATTAAGCGGATGATAATAAATTTTTTCGATCCTGCACAAACAAGGATAAAATTTTACCCAAACATTCAACTAACTACAGTCAAAGTAAACGTGTAAAAAAATATTGACTTTGTTGATTTTATTTATAGAGTAAACACCTTTATATATATCTCACAAGGACTTCAAAGAGTAGGATTTCTAAGAAAGAACCGATTACATTAAATCACAGAATATCTTTTATGCGTTAAGGCGTGCAAAATTTGAGCTGCGTGGTGGGATGGAAAATATATACTAGCCAAATTGTTAAATTGGGTTTGAAACCACGGGCTGAGTTTGTTAATTATATCAAATATTTTTAGCAACAAATTGAAGATGGACACAAAAGACTGAACGTAGCACTTCGGAGCCCCAGAGTAAGCTGGGCCAGACCCATTTTGGTTCAAACCCTAACCCTAAAATAAAAGTCGAAAACTGATTGAAAAATGCAATGCAATTCAACCCTAATTTTCGTACAAGTTTGGTAATATCTCGGGTGGTCATGGTTATGGTTCCAGGAATTTCAGTTACATGAGGATTTCATGGTTATGGTGTATTCGATTGATCATATCTCCGGTGCCCACTTTAATATGGCCATCACCTTCACCATCTTCCGCCATTTTCCACCCAAACACGCATTAATTAATCAAAAACTATTCCACCCAATTAATTAATTAATCATGATTAAATTCTTGTCATATATTCATGCATTCAATTGCATAATTTTTAGTTGCCTCTGTATAATGCAGCGCATGAGTTAGGATCCATCCTTGCAAGCGGGACTTTATGCCTTGTTTTGGGTGCCCCAAGCGGCATATTTTGGAACATAACTAGTTGGACCAAACGTTCGATATTTGGTCATGCAGATCATTGCCTCTTTTGTCTGGATATTTGTTATTTCAGGCATAGCCACAGATAGTAGAGCTGTTAGTAATTAATCCCTAATATGGTCATACATATACATATCCGCACTGCATGCATGCATGCAGATTGGAGAATTGGCAGGAATTGCTGTAGGAATGACAATAACTATGGACGTGCCCGTTGCCAGGTACATATATACATATAGCACATATATAAAATACAATAATATTGTACGTTTGGATATATAAAACTAACCACTACAGAAAAGTGATTATTAGGGGCGTAATATTAGATGCAGAAATAAAATTTTGCCTCTAATAGTATTCATTAGGGACCAAAGCATGCATTTCTCTCTATTAAAATAATAGCGACAAACAATAAACCGCCTCTACTAATTTTATCACTTTTAGGGACGGAAAAAAAACTGCCTTTACTAAATTTAGCTATCAGAGGCGAATGCAATTAGCCCCTAATTCAACTAATAATTATTTAAATTTAATTATTTTTTTCATTAGAGGCGGATGTTTGTACTTATTTATTTAAAAAAAAATTATATTTAAGACGGATATGTTTAATTACTATTTAATTTTTACAAAAAAAAAAAAAAATGAAGGATATTACTATTTACCAGAAGAAAAAAAAATCCATCTAAACTCTAATTCCAATACATACCCACTACCCTCATTTTTCTCTTTTCCCTCTTCCACTGCTGCACAGTTCATCATTTTCCCCTTTTTCCTTGATTTTTCTTCCCATCCCTTTCTCTTGTGCAGATTTAAACCCGTCCTCTCTTTCATTCTTCATAATCTTTTGTTGCTATTTTCCTTTTGCTACTCCGAGAGGACTGAATGAAAGGTTTGTTAGAGAGAAGATAAAACTCGTTTCATTTGGTTTGATCGAAGTTTTTTTTCCATCCTGAATTTTTTGTTTTGCAGGTATACTTGAGGGGGTTTTGAATAATTAAGAGTGGAAGAGAATTTCATGAATAGTTTGGAATAGATATATCATTTTATTGATAGGGAGAAAGAGGTTCTCAAGAATTTTCATTTTAGAGGTAATTCCCTTGTATTAATCTTTGTTTATTGATTTTTCTTATACGTTTAATTGATTGTGAAATTCAGGATTGATTTTTCTGTTTGTTCGTACAAATTAGTAAACTTTGTAATTTGGCTTTTTTGTTTGTTACGTTTTATTTTTTTTGTTTTGTATTTGTTTATGAACTGTTGTTAATTGAGAACGACTCATGTGCTGCTGCAAAATAAGAGGATGAACTTAGAGATCTAATTTGCAAAGCTTGAGAAACTGAAAGGAAAAGGAGAAGATTTTGAGATCTGGAAAGAAGATGAATCATGCTGGGTTTGAATATTTTGAATGATTCAAAACCAATAACTGACGTTTGGATGGATAATGCATTTATTACATTGTGGATTTAATTTTTTTTTTTTTTGTATAATTGAAAATATTAGGAGCGGATGTAATTATCTACTCGATTTCTTATTTTTACATAATTAGAATGTATTAAGGACTGATGCTTCTGCCCGTAATGATATGTATTTATAAAACCTGCCAACATGGCAACAAAAATAATAGGGACGGATATTTGACATTTTTTTGCATCTAATAACAATAGCAATGGCTCTTTTAGGGACGAATCTACTTTCCGCCCCTCCCTTTTACCAGGGGCAATTTTCAACATATTGGCACCTATTGGGGGTTTTTTTTAGAGGCAAATATTACTGCCCATATTTATTTGATTTCTTGTAGTGAACGTACTTGAATACATATATATGACATGGTGCAGACCGGTCTTAGGGGCATCGATGGACCCTGCACGGAGCCAAGGGCCAGCAATAGTGATGCACACAGACAAGGGAATATGGATTTACATTGTAGGTCCATTCGTTGGCACCATATATACTCGGTGGAGTTGCCTACAATCTCATTCGGTTCGCTGACAAACCACTGAGAGAGTTAACTGACAAAACCAATACTGCGGGAGTTAAGAAGAGTGCTTCCTTCATCAAATACGTTTCCAAAAACAATTTTTATAGAACTTAACAACCACGAGCTGGTGGCTCAATGATAAATGACGGATTACGAGGTTTCCTTAAAATAAAAAACGGGAGGTCTCAGTTAACCCGCTGCTAGTGTGGAAGCCAAACTTGTGGCTAGGAGGAGGCTGAAATGCCTCTGTGAGTCTTCTCCCTGAAAGAGGTGGATAACCGCTGCTTGCCACCAATTGTCCCTCTTTAAAATAAAAAAAAATAAAAAAATAAAAAATAAAAAAAACCTAGTTAATTCATGATCAATTATTACGTACTGTTGTGATGGAATCGATTGGTCGTCGATATCTTCTCCTTCTACAGCCTGCTGCTGCATGACATGCATGTCAAATAGGTCGTATGTTGTTTGGAAGGAAGAATAAAAAAAAAATTAATTTCTTTTTTGTTGATTTCTTAATCGGTGTTAAATTAAATTGTTTTTCCATATTTTATTATTTTATGAAATAATTTGTAACTTTTGTGTCATGCTATGAGGTATTATTAGGTGTATATTGAATGCGGTCACATGCGTGATATAATAATATTTTACGCAAATTATAACAAATATACTAATAGATTTTTAAAAAGAGACACATCAAGTACGTATGATACGTATTTAATAGCTAACTTTATTTCCAAAAGCATAGGCAGTTCCCAATAATTTCAACAGGTATGTGACATCTCACATCGCCCAGGGGAGTGATCCTTATATGTATATTCCCATCCCTACCTAGCATGAGGCCTTTTGGGAGCTCACTGGCTTCGGGTTCCGTAGGAACTCCGAAGTTAAGCGAGAAAGGGGCTAGAGCAATCCCATGATGGGTGACCCACTGGGAAATTGCTCGTGAGTTCCCAAAAACAAAACCGTGAGGGAATGGTAAGCCTAAAGCGGACAATATCGTGCTACGGTGGTGGAGTCGGGCCCGGGAAGTGATCCGCCCCTATCTAGCACGAGGCCTTTTGGGAGCTCACTGGCTTCGGGTTCCATAGGAACTCCGAAGTTAAGCGAGTAGCGCACGAGAGCACTCCCAGGATGGGTGACCCATCGGGAAGTTCTCGTGTGAGTTCCCAGAAACAAAACCGTGAGGGCGTGGTCGGGGCCCAAAGCGGACAATATCGTGCTACGGTGGTGGAGCGGGCCTGGGAAGTGGTGCCACCAGGGCCGGGATGTGACATTGGTATCAGAGCCTAACCCTGGCCCCGTGTGTGCCGACGAGGACGTCGGGCCCCTAAGGGGGGTGGATTGTGACATCCCACATCGCTCAGGGGAGTGATCCTTATATGTATATTCCCATCCCTACCTAGCACGAGGCCTTTTGGGAGCTCACTGGCTTCGGGTTCCATAGGAACTCCGAAGTTAAGTGAGTAGCGCACGAGAGCACTCCCAGGATGGGTGACCCATCGGGAAGTTCTCGTATGAGTTCCCAGAAACAAAACCGTGAGGGCGTGGTTGGGGCCCAAAGCGGACAATATCGTGCTACGGTGGTGGAGCGGGCCCGGGAAATGGTGCCACCCGGGCGGGGATGTGACAGGTAACCATATATAATTGGCTTGCAATTTCCATAACTAGTTACTCTATCAAAATCATATTTGATTGCAATTGATGTGTAACCATGCATATACATAATGATATGTAGCTGCCCTTGTTTAATTAATATGCATATAAATGTGACCTTCCTGAGATGCTCCTTTTCATAAACTTCAAACTAATTATTAATTTAGTTATAAACATTAAATAATCGCACTTTGTTTAAAAAAGGTTAGATCCAAAACACATGGAGCTCCTCACATGCATGAGTCATACGTTGCATAGAGCAAAAATCTCACATGTCCTTCAATTCAAAACTATCACATATTTCTGACTAGCTACTTTAATCTTTTACCAATCGTTACAGGTGTAGTAGGAACTTGTGAAATCAATCAATTGTACTAGCTAATATATATATATATATATATATTATATTCGTCAAGGGATCTATATAAATATAAGTTGTCAAGTTATTTTCAAAACCATCTTAATCGATCCCTTTGTTTTTTATGTAGTCTTCAAAGTTATGGTGATCAGCCATAGACTTTTCCATCTGATATGTCCCTAGCTCCCACCAAATGTCTCTGGGAAAAAAACCCTTGACTCTCTCTAATCTTTTGGTGCCACATGGGTAATTTTTGGTTTTCATTGTCTTTACCATCTTTGTAATATAAATGGATCAATGTCACCAATATTTTGTTTCTAAGAAAAGAAATTAAAATTAAAAAGCTATACATGTCATATAACAACTTCTATTATAGTTTAGCTATATTTTTCTTTCTTTGGAAATGAGAGATCTCACATTTAATTTCCATAAATAACGAGTCTGTATAATATTTGTGTTGAATTTGATAACTGATTATGTCTTATTTTAAAGTAAAATATCATCGTATGAAAAAAAATATTTATGCTCTATTTCATGTTTGGTTGATATATGCTGACTCTCACTGGGGTTAGGTGTCTATTGTTTTCTTTTCTTTTTTGAATCTATTATTTTCTAGTAGACGAAACCAGAGGAAAAAATAGAAAATAAAATACAACAAAAAATATTAGTGTTCTTTTAACGGACAGGATTACAAGAACACAATTCAATAAACGGACAGAAATCGAGTTTAGAGAGGCGTTGCCGACCGGTATCTTGTATATGTTGGCCACGGCGGGACATGCACAGCCCTTGCACATGGCTCCTCCACAGCTTTAGACTTCGTCCCATATGTGTATTTGTGACTAGTCGGCCCACCCTGATTCTTAACCGAATACCTAAACTCCTACATTTTCTAATCTAACGGCTCGAATCTTTCCACAAGACTATATTTGTTGGAAAAGGAGGTATAGATGGAGGGAGCTGACCGTCCTGGGCAGAACAGAAGACATTAACGACGGAAAGAACGGAGGATATGAAGGCGTTATCGAGGTGTCAGAAGGCAATGATAACATGATGATGCAAACCAACCTTTTTAGGCAAGTCCAACTTTACATTTTGATTTCGTATGAGTACACTAATCACTTCTCACTCACACACCAAAAAGTCTTATGTCTCTATCTCTCTCCTACTCTTTCTCTCTCTAGAAACCTCAGAAGCTTGTTAGCCACAACAATATCTAATCTTGCAACGCAAAAAACACGAAACCAAGATCCAAAGACAAAGACAGACAAGTGGGTTTTGTGTCCTAGATGCATGTGAGTGTGTTTTTGCTCCTAACACGCTTGCTTCTGATTCCCGACTAACATTTTAGCTCCTTCATTCTTCATAACCCAACTGTTTGATCTCTGGAATCCAATCCCACAGCACTGTTTGATATACTTTTCTTGTAGCTGTGATATGGGGTTTTGACCAAGGTAAATTCTTAACTTTTCTTGCAATTATTTAACTTTCTCTCATTTGGGTTTTGGATATATATTAATTGACTTGCTTCCCATGTTTTGCTTACTTATTAAGTTCTGATTTTGTCCCTGCAAGATTGGCATTTCTTTGAGGTTTTGAGGGCAGATTGTAGTGATGTCTGGGGAGATGGAAGAGCCCTTTAGTTTTAGCTTTCAGGTACTTCTCTTCTTATGCTCTTTATTAATTTTGTTAGTGAGAATGCTTCTTAAATTCTACCCCAGTATAAGATTAACTGCTTAATCAGGAAGATTATGGCCTGTTTGATAACCGTTTAATTTTATATGCTAGATATGAGGTTCAAAGACGGATATAAATATAAGCCTAGAGGTTGATTAAATGGGAATGTTCATGTTATAGTAATTTGTAAATCATACCAAAAGCGTGATGAAATTGCATACCGGGGTGATTAGTGAACTCTGATCTGTTTTTCCGATCGCTGATTTGCATCCCCTTGATTTACTTTCAGTAGAAGTGCCCAGTAATTGGATATTAATGCATCCATATTCTCCCACAATGTGCCATTTCTGCTACGAATGTTCAAACGAGTGGATGAATTGACAAATTATGTTTAATGATTCATTCTGTTTTGTAGTCATCTGCTTTTATAACAGCTACTTCTTCGAAATGGACAGGCAGACTCTTTACACTCTGGTTCCATATCATTTGGGAGGTTCGAAAACGAAGTTTTATCTTGGGAAAAGTGGTCGTCGTTCTCGCATAACAGATACGTTGAAGAGGTTGAAAATTGCTTGAAACCGGGTTCAGTTATTGAGCGGAAAGCTTACTTCGAAGCTCATTTCAAGAAGAAAGGTTTTCCCAAACCAAATTTAGTTGAGTGCTATCGCGGTACAAGTTATCAAGTCCGTGAAAATGGTGTCTTGGAGAGTGATGCGTACGGAGAAGAATTTGAAGACGGAAATGAAGACAACAGTTGCGCTCAATTTGATAAGGGCTCCGAGGGTTCAGAGTACCACGGAGACAGTGAAGTGAATGAATATGAAAAGGGAGATCCTGAAGTTTCATTGTCTGATCCTCAGAGGGCATCTGAGTTGAACAATGAAGATATTCTGGTCGCTATTAAAGATGATAATTCCGAGGAAACAGGTCAAATTGGAATAGGTTGTGACATGTTTTCTTCAATTATCGATGAACCAGAGAACAATGTAATTGAGAATCATGATGGTGATGCTGTGAATGCTGATGAATCATATAATTCAGTTAAGATAAACCCCAAAACTGCAGCAGATGAAGAAGTTAACATGACTATTGTGGAAAGTTTGCATGGTTCTTCTTCAAAGGTATGTTCTTCTATTAACTCATTTTTGTTTAGTTGGTAACAGTATTAACTATAAATTCCTCTCCTCGGTTTCCTGTCTAGTTGAAGGCTGGAAAAGAATGCAAAATTTCCAAGTCCAAAGTAAAATCTAACGCCAGCATTTCTCCGGTTAAGAGAAGTATTTCTTCTGAGTCGTCTAAAGATTGTACAAAGAACTCTAATAGAGAAGGAGAGGGTACACGAAGAACGGATAAACAAAAGCTGTCACCAAAAACCACCATTCCAACTACACAATCTGTTCCCAGGACTCCAAAATCAGAGGTAAGCATTATGATGTTCTTCACCCTCTACATAGTATAGTATAAGCATATTGGTTTCTCAAAAAACGGTGTGCCTTTGGATTCTACACGCAGGAATCTACAAATCTGAAGGGAAAATCTGCTCACGAGAGTAGAAGGTATATATTGTTGATTGCAAGTAGAAATCCTAGATGCTTTACTGAATGGAACCTCATATGCATACTTCTTGCATTGTTCTAGTGATAAGAAACTTGGTGAACCTCAACCTCCTGCCGTCAAGCCTGAGTCCAGAGGACGCCAAACGGCAAACAGGTTTATTAGAATTTCTTACTGAATGCTATGAGTGTTTCTATCTTTCAAACTGTAAAATTTTCGTGAAGTCACCCTTCCGTATTCCTCTCTCGTATAGGTTTAACCAAAGAGTCAATTTGACCAAGTCTGATATAAGATCAAGTGTTGCAACTTTCAATTTCAAAAGTTCTGAACGAGCAGAAAGGAGGAAAGAGGCAAACAACCATGTACTTTCTCTGAATTTGTTGTTTCTTTAGATTTGGGTTTCAGATTTATATGGCTTACAATGCTGATATTGACTTGTTCCTCTGATTACGATCGTGTGTATATAATGCTGAATTATTTCACAAATTCATATTTTGGATGCATCAATGTGTTGAAAAGATAATTATATCCTTCAAACTAGTGCTGTACTTGCCAGCGGCGGTTCTAATTCCTGGACTTTTGGATGATAAAGTATATATCTACTATCTAGTACTCATAGCAGAGGGAAATGCATGGTTGATGATAATAACACTCGAATTTTCCTGAATGCATGCTCCTGAAACTTCTCTTAAGATTCTCAACGGGTTTCGGTTAATGTTATTGCAGGAAAAAGCCGAAGCTGAGATGAGACAATTCCGCAAAAGCCTCAACTTTAAAGCAGCACCAATGCCTTCCTTCTACCATGTAGCTGTGAATGCAGCGCCTGATGGGAGCAAGGTAAATAACTGCCATTCATTGCATTTAAAGACATGAACTTCCAAGTGAATCGATGAGGTCAAATTTGAAATAGAGAATAAATTCAGGATTAGAGGATGACTTTTTGTTCGACTTTGTTGCATGGTTTCACCACTTTGCCTAAAACTCGCGTTTGGGAAGGATGAATCGCTCCTGAAAAGGAATCTATTGATTCTCTCCCAATTTGTTGGACCGTAGGTGCGATGATTTACTTCACGGGTAAAGTCTCTAGTTCAAGTCCAGGACGGCCCAGCTGCACCAAGGAAAAGAATAGAAGAAGCATTTGACTCCTTCATGCATGCTCCACTAGGCTCGGGGGGATATAACACAATTGGTAGAGCTCCGCTCTTGCAATTGGGTTGTTGCGATTACAGGTTGGATGTCTAATTGTCTAGACAGTAATGATAGTATCTTGTACTTGAACTGGTGGCTCACTTTTTCGAAGTAATGGGGAAGCGGACATAAACATGCCACTTAAAGACTCTACTGAGACAAAGATGGGCTGTCAAGAACGTATAGGAGGTAGGATGGGCAGTTGGTCAAATCTAGTATGGACCGTACACAAACGGTAGTTGGAATTGGCGACTCTCCCCTCATCTGGGATCCCTAGGGAAGAGGATCAAGTTGGCCTTTAGGAACAGCTTGATGCACTATCTCCCTTCAACCCTTTGGAACTACGAGATCACCCCAAAGACATCCAAGGGTCGCAAACCGACCATAGAACCCTGTTCAATAAGTGGACTGCATTAGCTGTCCGCTTTCAGGTTGGGTAGTAAGGGTTGGAGAAAGGCAATCACTCATTCTTTAAACCAGCTTTCTTAAGACCAAAAGGTCGGGTGGAAGGGGGGGGAGAGGCTCTCCATTCTTGGTTCTCCTATAACTAGATCCTCTGGAACCACAAGAATCCTTAGTTAGAATGGGATTCCAACTCAACACCTTTCCTTTTGAGATTTTTAGTACGATGAAAGTTGGTAAGTTGTGTTCGAGGTGGGGGGGGTTATTGTCTATCGTTGGCCTCTATGGTAGAATCAGTCGAGGGCCTGAGAGGCGGTAGTTTACCATGTGGCGAATGTCAGCAGTTAGAGTCCGCTTATCTCCAACTCGCGAATTTAGCCGATACAAAGTTATATGATAGCACCCAATTTTTCTAATTCGGCAATTCGATCTATGCTATGATTTATCATTTTATGTTTTTTCTTTGCACTAAACAGTTCATTTCGGAATGTGAATAAGATTTTGAAATGGAAAATTGGAAAATAATGGCCCCGTTAACTGCGATATCATGGATTTTCTATATATTTTTCAGGCTGTATCTACCAAATTCTCTAAAGTACAAAGCAAGTCAACAAATCCAGGGAGTGGAGCCGCTGCAAGATTTCCATCACATTCAGAGGCAGGCAAGGTTGAACCTCCCACGGCCAACGTTTCTATAAACACAGCTGATTTGCATGAGGCCTCGAGAGAAACTAACAGCATCATGGCTGATCCCTCTGAAACTAGTTCAGTTTCTTCAGCTACACTGAGCAGCAGAAACTTATCCCGGGATACTGCAACTAAAAGTGAACATCCCAGGACGAAAGGAAGGGAGAAGGATGCTAAAACGCAGAAACATCGGTTATTAGAGAGCGGTAAAATGGCAAAAAGTCAGAAAGCTGAAGGGAAGCAGAAAGTGGGAGTCCAAAAAAATAGCAGAGAGATGGCAAGGAAGGGTATGAAAGACGGCGTCGGCTTTGGAAGCAGTTCAAGAATGGGTCATCTAACGGTTGGTGTTGCCTCATGAATGAACACCAAGAGATCGAATATACTCAGCGTGCAGGATGAACACTGCAAGCCTGAAATTTAATGAAAGCAAAGCTTGTAATAAAACATGCAGGTGAAAGGATAATAATATATGGTTGTGCTGTTTGAGGGAGTAGAAAAATTGGAAGCCTAGGCCCTCTTGCCTCCTTCATAAATTAAAAGTTTTATTAAATTTATTCATCATGTAGTGAAAACAATGTAGACATCGAAATTTCAGTAAAAAAACAAAAACAAATGAGAGATCGTAACCCCAAAATCATTAAACACAAAATATTATTTTGTACACGTTATTCTTGTTTCTTGTTTCAAGGAATTTTTCGTGTTCACAACCAAGTTATCTTCCAATGTAATCAAGCACCTTGAAATGGATTAATGAGTTGATTAAGAGCATTTGCTCTTAAATTTGAGGTTCCAAATTTGATTAATCCATCTTCTTTATCATTGCTTTTATAAAAATTGTGGCATGGAAAGTTGGAGAAACTTGACCTCTCTTTTACGGATTGGTGGATAAAATCCCAAATATCTCATCTCGAGATTTCTCCTTGACATTTTTCCTGCCCATGAAACATTCGACATTCTAAAATTTAGACAGCGGACTACATGCAGTGGAATAATACCTTGTTGTTATCGTTGTTGTATGAAACACTTAGAAAAGTCACTAACTAGTTTGACTCCTAAATTCAATTGTTTCAGTCACTTACTCAGTTGTTTCGATTTGGTCGTAACTTGGAGTTCCGTTTCTTTTGTTGATGGGAGAGTTACGTGCACCATATGTTAGGGCAAAACCGTGTTTTGCTCGAATAGTTTGACTCGGATTTCAATTTTGGTCCATATAGTTTTTTTAATTGTTTCAATCAGGTCCCAGAAGAAACAAGTGATGAAAAGTTAGAATCTGGTGCTTGAAAGGTTTGTGGGTTGGAATGTCGTAGGGGAGATAGATATACTCCATACTCCTGTCTGTCTCTACTTTTGACTCTAAATACCAAACAAAAGGCCCCTACCATGAATTAAGCCTACCGATTACCCTAATAGATTTGGATTTATACTTATTGCGTTTGATTAGTGGTTGTAAGATCATCTCCAGCTACGTGCCATGTCTTATGTTAGACCGTAAAATTGATAAAAATAGTCTCCAATTAAAGGGCTAAAAAGAATCACGCTAAAGAAATCAGACCACATTTATCCCTAGGCAGACTACTAATAACCAGTTCTCTGTATATTAGTTAAATATTTTTTTCTAAAAACACTTTTAGTCATTTAAAAACACTTCTCAAATAAACTGTTAATGATAATGAGGGTCCTTCACCGTATTTAAAAATTTGGAATGACGACAAAAATGAAAGGAAGGAGCCTGAGGAGGATAATTAACTAGGAATCGTGAAGTTTCCATGGACCTGCCGACTGTTAAGTTAATGATATTTTCTGTCCTGTTGTGCAAATATAAGCAAAACAAGTGATGTAATATACAAATTGGTGGTTACAAAACGTCAAAACCTACTCAAATCATGCACCTTAGTACAAAAGAAAACGAGTATAATATCGTCATCTTCATCTTCTTTCTTATCACTTTTCTGTTTCTCTCACTTCCAGTGCCAATCCTTAATTTACCTAATCATATTTACAACTAAATGTATTGATGGAAGAGATCAAATGCATAACATGTGTTTGTAATTTAAAGCGTCTGGACGTTTACTCAAGAATTTAAAAAAAATTAAATATAATATCATAAAAATACTTAACATGATTAATTTCATTAAACAAAACATGATGTTTGATCATTCCAACGAGAGATAATTGTTACTAAACTAATTAATTCATTAAAACAAGAAGGCTTTTTAACTAATTTTGCAGAAAGTTAAAAAAGTAGACGAATACAACGAAAAGATTGGTGGTGGCGATAGTGTTGAAGAGCGTTGACGATCTTCTGATTACAGAGGTTGCCGACGAAGCGTCTTTGTTTCCACGAGCACCGTTTTTGAAGTAGAATGGAAAATAAGGTAAGATGGGGTCAGGAGGAGGATTAGCACCATATCCATAACCACCGTTATCAGTAGACGGAGGAGGGTTGTACGGGTAATTTCCATTTGGGTTGTTGACGACGGCCGGAGGCGGGTATGACCCGGTTTGGGACGACGGAGGAGATGGAGTTGTGGTTGTCGGAGTTGTTGTTGTTGGAGTAGAAGTGCTCCCGGTGCCTGTAGGTGGAGGATAACATGGGTATGCACAGGGATTATCTGATATTGTTGTTGCAGGAAAGCTGAGAATTATTGAGAACAAAAAGAGAGCTGACAGGATAAGTGGGTTTATCTTTGCAGCAGCCATGGGAGATTGAATTGAATATGGTGTGGGAGCTTAGGAAAACGAATGAGAGAGGAAGGACAAGGAGAGGTTTGGGGAAGAAGACAAAATGTGTAGACGAGTGGAGTTGGTGGAGGTGGAGGTAAAACTATTATTATTAGAAAGAAAACTTTGAGAGTCTTGTCATGACTCAATGAGTAAATAAAAAGAAAGGAAAATTAATGAAAATAACTTCAAAATTTTGAGTTTTATTAATAAGGATAAAATAAAAGGTAAAGTGAATAGTATCAGAATTGACTTTTTAGTGTAAAAATATAGATTTTTGTTAAAGTGAACAGTACCGAAAACTTTTCGTTAAAGTTTCTAAAAAGAAAGAAAATATAGAGGGGCCAAAGGTACTGTTGAAAAAGCAAATTTTAAAAGTCTTAGTAATTTTTCTTCAATACTACGTAATATCGAATCACACGAAAATTGAATAGATGAGATTAAATATCAAACATTTAAGAGTATCTTCAAAGGAGATGTCAAATATAGTATGTCAAAATTTTATTTGATGGCTGATGTAGTAAATTGAATACAAATGCTAAATTCTCTTATTTTCCATCAAATATTTATTTTATTATTTTATTGGGCCTAGAATTACATTAACTATTAAAAAATAATCAAAATTAGTTTCAGTTTTTTTTTTCTATTGGTTGTTAATGGGACCCATGCATTACAATTAAATTAAATATATTTGACTCATTCTTTGTTTGCTGTCAAAAAATGCAGCTAGAAAATAAGGAGTCAAATGACTTACATGCCACACCATATATGACATATCCATTGAAGAACACTTAAATGTCTTTTAATTCTATTTGGCATATCTAACATCTTCTTTGGAGATAGTCTAAAAAGTAGTGGCAATCAAATCTAACCACTAAAATACTTGTAATATTGGATAATATGTACATAACATTGAAACCTTACCATAATTTTAGACCGTGTATAGTTAGAAGATGTCACATTCGTACACCCTTGTTTTATGAATATTTTTTTTCTGATATACGAGAAGTTTAGAACCCTGTATGTAGTATTTTTTACCTATCATCCTATTTACCTTCACTTTCACTTTTAAACTTGGCTATTAGTGTTATTTAAAATCGATATTAGCTAGCCTGCTAAATCAACAAATTTTGAAGTTAATCAACTTGTGCAAGGGAACAAACTTCTTTATACATACCTCGTAGTTCTTGGATGTCAACTCATTTCGAATTTCCTAGGCCTTACGTTACAAAATATATATATATATATATATATATATAGTTTAGTTAGGCTAAAATCACTAATCATTCTTTTTGAGCTCAAACGTCACCCGAATTTGTATAATTTGAAGTCATGGGAAACTTATGTCTTCCACTTTCGGGAGTGATACATTTGGTAAATCCTAATGTACTTGAGTTTCACACTAGTTAACTATAGTGAGCCCCAATCACTTGGGGAGAGCTTAGACGTACGTATTGGAAGAAAGTTAGAGGAAATTGCATGTGGGACTGGGCTAGCTAATTAACTATTATTGTAATTATCTGCAATTATTGTCCTTGCGTAGTGAGGGTGCACGTCAAAGATTAAGACATGTCATATGATCGCAGCCTTACATGACTGAAACTCAATCATTTTAGTTTTGGGATAAATTATATCACTCCCTAAAATATATTTCTTTGCTACCTGTCCCAAGTAATGCTTTATGTCATTACTGGGCCAACAGTTTCAGTGGCTTGGATGAAAACAGATCACTTAAACCAACCTGCAGGATTTTGATCAATGTTTGAGAAACTTATATTTATTTTGTTTTGGTGAAAAACCCTAGTTGGTCATCTCTGCAAATAAATTAATAATGCTTTATTCATCTCTCTCCCAAGTTCGATTGAATCGTATCGTGTTCCCTAGCTAGCTTCTTCAAACTTGAAACTTGTGTTAATCTGCTATATTATTGGATCTTGCCAAACTATCGAAAGAAGCCGAGTATCGAAGAGCTCAATAGTGACTAATGAGTTGTTCATTTGATTCTTCACCATATATAATGTATAAAAGGGGACATGATGACTACGAGGAACATTCTTTTGGCATAAAGCTACTGCTTAGGTAAAAGCGATAAAGTGATGAATAGAAGTAGGTTACTTTCAAAAGTCGAAACCTCTAATATTATAGGAAAAAAAAACTAGTCCTTCAAGGCATGCATGTCTTTAAATTTTAAAATACAAAAAAATAAGAAAAAAAAATTAAAGTCTCTTTGGCTGTGCGTATGTGTGTGACCATATGCATGTGTATCTAGCAAATTATTGTCGACAGCCACCAGCTAAATTCCACACCTAACGATGTTCATTTAAACAAGCATAATTAATATTTGTGAAAAAAATATTTGATAAGCAAATTAATCATGGAGAGAGACAGACAGGTGTAGAAAGATGCAATTGAAAGGCTTTGAATAATTCCGATGATTTGTCTTTGCTGCCACGCAGTCAAAGAGCAAACTTGAAGGCACAACCGCACAGACGGAAGCAAAAAGTGAGCAGAGGTTGAGTAATTTTGACGAACAATGCAACCCAACATATATAAACTCGATCACTCCCTAAATAACATGATTACTATGATTTTTGTAAGGGAATTATAGGGTTTACCATTCTATTTCTTACACCTAAGACAGATTCATCCACTATTTGGTACCCTGTCTCCGTTACGGCAATTTTTTTTTTTTTTTTTGTGACCGTGAAGACTCACAAAGGCATTGTAGCCTCTTCATGGCCACCAACATGTGAATCATTAGCACCAAGAATCAAATTTAAGATGTGTCGTGTGAAATATGGATCTAAAATTCATCTACAACTATTGAACCATCCCGTGGTGGTTAGTTATAGCTACCATTGATTCTACTAAAGTTATTAGGACCATAATGACCCCCTGAACATCGTGCCTTCTAAATTGCCCTAATATGATGGTGATGAATTTAAGTTGGACTGGATGAGCACACTACTTTGGTCAAAATTTAAAATAATTTGGCTTACCCAATGATATGCAATTATTTATGTTTTCTATCAATAAGAAATCTTCAATTTTTATTTTAAAAAGTTAGATATTTGGGATGAATTACTTGGTGGAAATTCTCTCTCTCAACAAAGGTATGTGCTCAACAATTAACTGACTAATATCAAAATTGTGTTTTCAGCAAGTATGATGAAAGTGTTGCAATCTTTTAAGTTTGAATTTTGGGTATTCGAAAGGATGATGCTTTGCTTTATCATCATCTATAGAAAGAGGTGAGCTGTGACGTTAGAAAAGTCCTTGGGAGAACATGTAAAAGTAGAAACTTCCTTTAAAAGTAGCATTTATCTATCTTATAACTTTGAAATTGAAATCTATAAACGTGGCTATAAATAATAGAATGGATTTGTCCTTTTTACACACGAATGATGCTAGATAAGAATCATGCATCACCTTTTTATCTTAAACGTTTTCTTTTCATCGAATTAACGTCAAAAGATATACATATGTAGATTAAGTCAGTTAATTAGAGTAATAAATGCGTTTCAGCTTTGCTTATCGTTTCTTCTTTACTCGAAATCAAAATGGGTTGGTCTTCAATTTCATGAATATTGATTTGATGATTTACCATCAGTCTGTTATGTTTGGTTGCATGGTTGGTGACTTGGTTAACCTTATCAATGAGCTGCCACTTACTAAATTAAGCACTGGATTTATCTCTATTTTTGTCACATCTTAATATGCAATTTCTAACTCTAATGATTTTATCCAGACTCTAGAGCAATGCATTAAAAAACCAGTCAGCACAACTGCCACTTTCCAATTGGTGCATCCATGAATGGTGCTTAGGTAGATAATGGCAACTAGCTAAGTCTTAATCAAACTTAATTACAAAACCTGCCCTAGGAGACTATTTAAAGTGATGAAAATTGACCGACGACCCACCAGTCGTTGGTTGTTTATAAAATTCAAGATTAATATGATGTTGAAAAGAGAGAATATTTTGTTCATCGTCTTTAAATGGTCGTAATGTTCGTGATTTTATTTATTATTGTTGAATGCGTTTAAATTTTAAGATTTATATGTACATAGATATAGATCTCAAAATTTAAAATTTTCTAATTATAATAAATAGGATGTAAGGCGATGATCTTATTTATTATTATTGAATGCATTTAAATTTTAAAATCAGTATGTAATCTGAAAATTTAAATTTTTATAATTATAATAAATAGGGTGTAAGACGGTCAAAAGACAATTGTGAGTAAAAATGCATCTCTAAAAAGAAAGCATCGGACCATAGTTTGGTGAAACCGAAGTTGATCTTCTTTTACAAGCACAGAAGCATATGCTCTTTTCGACATTTCACACGTTAACGGAATGGGAATGAAGTCTGACATCAAGATCAAATGGTCGGCTTGTTTTTGCATGTCACAGCGACAGGCCCACGTACCCAAATTCAACAGTCCATGTGAACCTTCGTAATTGGCTATGATGTGAACACATCCACCGACGAAAGAAATTTATATGCAATCGGAACAGAACGTCAAAATACGTATCGTTTTTGTTAGAAGATTGAATACCACCTCAACCTTCTGATTACATCAAGTTCTTCTCTAAGAACATTAAGTTTTGTTAGGGTTAACTCATGTTCAAGAACAATCTCGACCACCCTAAATTTTACTTGGTGTACGATGAAAACTTTATCGGTTTATATTTTTTCTACCATGAATTTATTTATTTCGACAATCAAACTTATTAAAATCACTGTTTTAGAAATTTTGGTCTAGATCTTGTCCTAAGCACCAAGGTGCTAAATCTTTACCCAACACTTAACCCTTTTAGAACTTTGTTGAAATACTGTGTGTCGACTTTTTTAAACCTTTATGGAAAGGGCTTCGTTTGCATACCTCAGAAAGTTGTTGTATATTGTATGTATTTTATCAACAGCCCCTTCACGGATTGCGAAAATGGTGTATTTTGGTTTTGGATTGCATATTGTATTGTCTACTGTTCGCATCTGATGACCACCCAATTAGTACTCATGTACATACAAACGCATCGTTGTCGTTATATTTTTTCAAAATTTAATTTTTTAAAGCACTTGAGTAGTCCAACTGTATATTCATTAGATTATTAAGTAAGGAAAAATAGTATTTCTCCAATTCAATTCTAACCGTTCGTTTTCTGTACAATTGGGGAGTCCAAAATATTGAGACTATCAGAGGAAGTTTTCTAACATACGCAATTGAAAAAACTGTGGACAAAATGCACAAGTTCTGCCTTGAATCACATTCATAGTTGAGTCCACAGAGCACATGCCACGTGGACACATAAGCTTACCCCTTACCTAAGCTACAAGCACATCAGACGTTACATGATTAGAGGGTCCACAAATGAAACGAAGTTTTTTAATTAAAACATCAGTGGAAGTGCAAGCTTGTGAGTTGGGTTGTCGGATCCATACACACTCAGTCAAAATCCACAGGATCGATCCCATCGATTACGAACGCAATGAAATTTCAATATTAAATTTTAATTTTCATAATTTAGATGAATTTATTATAATATATTGCTAATATAAACCAAAATTGAATGAAAGAAAACAAAACTTATGAAATTGGAAAAATAAAAGTGATTACGTACTCTAATGCCATTCATAATAAAGTTGAACTTGAAAGATTTTATGGAAGATTATTACACAATTGGCGAGATATGAGATTAGAGCAAGAATTAACAAAATTATTAACCAACCCTTAATATTTTCCTGGATTACAAAAACTGATAATCCTGCCCTCAAACTCTTTATCCTTAACTATAACACCCAGAAATTCAATTTTATCTCCCTTATAATCATCTGAATTAATTTTGCAATACGTACTTACCATATGAATTAACAAGTCATAACTGATCACCAAAAAGCCAGGATACCCAGCAGTCCTAGCAAAACGGGCGACGCGTTAACCGAACTCCGACTGGCACTGTTGATATTATGGTCGACAGGGTACAACTGCCCTGGTGGACCTGTGATGTATACCATCGCTGAAGGCGGTGGAGGCGGGTATGTACCAGGCGAGTATGGTGACGGTGGATTCTTGGGAGAAGGCGGCTTCTTGGGAGAAGGTGGCGACCATTTGGGTGGTGGAGGAGGACACGGTGATGGTGGTGGTGGTGGTGGGGGTTGATCCGGCGGAGGTGGGCTTGGAGTGCACGAGCCGCACTTGCCCTCGCCGGGCGCGCCTGGGGTGTCATCGCCGTCGACCGGGCCTACTACGTAGGCTGTCAAAAGGAGCATGCTTATTAGCACCGCCAGAAGTTTCGACCCATATTGCATTTTGATCGCCATAATGCTGGCTCGTTTGTCTGAAATCTTGATGATTTTATGAATTTGAAGGAGAGGAAGAGGCGGTGGTTTGCTACGTTATTAGGTGCATTTGTTTGGGGGGGGGGGGGGGGGGGAGTGGTGGTGGTGGTTGAAACTTGAAGAAAGTAAAGTGGTTTGGCTGTAGGGCTAGTGGGTTTTGGTGCGTTGGGAAGAAAGAGGATTAATTAGATGGGCAAACTGGAGTGAGTGAGACGTGTTCTTATGGGGCTCTTTTTCTACTATGTCATCGGTGGAAGGATATTGCTTTCTGGACCGAGGAATCGCACTGCATATATGGTCCAAATTAGTCGACCCAACCACCATTTACATTTCATATCTATTGGGTGTATGGGCGTATATACAGGCAATCATTTTTTTTAATGTACGATATCCATAATATTATGTACAACATTTTCTGAAAGATAACAAAATCTTAGAAAAATAGTGAGGGGAAGAAACCGGAAGCAAGTCGAGGAACAATCAAGAAAGTGGATAAAAGAGAAAATGTGGACTTAATCCGTATAATATGCATTGATTGAATTTAAAGGTAACTGGTTTAATGTCAAAAATTGTAAGAAATTTTACATTTGTGAGACATGCTAAAAAAGTTCTTTTAAAAAGTAAAGTGTTTAATGGACTCTCTGTCTCTTTTATGTTCTTAGTACAATACTTACAATGTTGACATGTGAATTAACGTTAAATAGTAAGGTAGTAGAAATTTCATAAAAAGTTCCCTTAGCATATCTCCTACGGTCGTGTTCGTAGTGCAATTTTAAAAACTATTGGGTACTTCAAAATTTTCTTCTTTACGATGTAGTTAACATTTGGCACGTACTTGTATGCTTGTACAGAATAAGATTACCCCTTAATTTGCATCATTTGAGACTGAGTTTTCATAAAGAAATTGGATCATTCTTGTTTGTTAGGACGACCGACTCATATTTCGGGGAAATCTTCATGTTGCAGCACATGGTTGGTGCATATTCGACATCGATGGATTACCTGCCTAACTGGTGTGAAGTGTCATCTGATAAGTTCTATGTCTGCTGAAACTTATATTATACCGACACATTAGCGAGGTCAAATATATGATGAAACTGCATGAGAAGATGCGGAAGACTTGATGAGGAAGAGTACCACTGTACCAGTCTTGCCGAAGACTTGCAATGACTGGCTGCCAAGGCACTTGAGGCACATATACGTGTCAATCAACGTATTTGTCACTGCCTGAGTGAAGTCTTATCAATTTTAAAGAGATTCCAAGGTTCCGATGCCATATATTAGACACGTGTGATGACCTAGCCAGTCCCTAATCACGTCCACTTCCATCGTGAAGGTATCCGATGGAGAGATGTCCCTGTCTCTCTTTGGTATCCAGCATACGTTATTGTCCAATCATCAAAATGAATTATTTACGAGTTAAGCTCGTGGAAAAGCGATAATAGTTATTGATGTTAGCAGTACATGTTAATGTTCATTTTGAGAAAGAAAAAAAATCATCAAATTATAGTAACGGGAACTTAATTCTGAAGAAAGCGAATAGAAAAAAGGGGAACAAAAAGCTAGGAAAATGTGGAATGTACCACATGCGTTGCTAGGTAAAGAGGCACCGTCCCATTTTCTCTTAAAGCATCTACGATTCCTCCCCTTATCTTGTTGGCTGTCATACATCCAGCTCAACCTCCTCAATTATATAAACATTCTAGCAATTGAAACAATTTTTAAGAGAAATTTTGTATTTTGTCAGACTTTTAGGACAAAGATTAATCGTTAAGTTACGTGAATACTGTTCGTTTTCCCAATTAAATCCAAGAGAACGAAACGTAAGCGGAGAAGCCAATCGCTCAAAAGCAACTGTAAAAGCATTAAAACAAACACTTGAAAAGAAAAAAAAAAAAGAAGTCCAAACAATTAACCAATCCAGCACGGGCCAAATCTGCCGTGTACTTAACAGTTGAATCCAAATAGTATCGAAACCCCTCGACTTTGATGGGCTGTAGTCGATTAAAGCCCAAAAAATCTTACAGGGCATTCAGAAAATACAAGTCCAATGTAAAACTAGGAGGAGAAAAAAACAACAAAATTGCCCTACTTTTTGCCTACAAGTTGTAAGTCGTGTACACCACCCAAAGAGAACCCATACAACGTTGAATAATACTTGCTATTCAAAAAATTAGCGGAAACTCTTACTTAAAATTATTCGTTACTTACTCCGTAAAATTGTGTGTTTATAATAATATACGTTTATATTATAAATAATTCTTCAAAAATTCTTAACAAAAAATTAATTAAAACTAAAATCTTTTAATCAATGAATTGTATAAAAACAGATGAACAAAATTTAACAAAGCATTACAAACACCTATATATTTATTATATATTGACTAACTGATCTTAGTTTTAATTTATTTTTGCAAGGATAATCTTTTATGAAGTGATTCTTATAAACGAAATTTTAATCATAAACACAAAAATCTATGATTCAAACGCGAAAAATTCTTAGTAAAAATTATTACTTGAGCAGCCAAAACTACTTGTACAATTTTTCACTTAATTGCCTTTTTGCTCGTTGGATCCTCTCTGGATTCTCTTTGTGAGGATCCGGAGGATCCATTGATCACGATCGTTCATCGTACATCGTGCAGTTAGTTTTCGTTAGATACTATTTATATTTAATTTTAAATTTTAAATATTTTCTAATCGCATAATATACGATCAACGACTGTGATTGATAGATGCCCTAGATCAACAAAGAGAATAAGAATCATTTTCCGTTCTCTAAACTACTAGAGAATGCGTTGATTAAAAACCCACTAAAGAAAGAAGAGGATACACATCCATCACCAACTCAATCGACCCACAAATGCAAAAGAAATCAAACACTCAAAAGCATTCTCATCATTTTTGTCCTTCCCACTAAAACGAAAAAAATCCATCTCCATACATCCCTACGTTTGGTACATGTAAAGCTGAGCCTGAACCCGAACCTCTCCCAATCCCGGAACTAGATTCAAGCCGTGTTCTCTTCGAGCATCCAGATTGTTCGAAAGCCGCGGATTGTCCACAGAAACAAGAGGACGGAGGAGGGCCGAACCCTTGGACCATCTCCATGAGCATCGCTTGCAGGTCCTCCATGCTATAACTCTTTGCCTCTCTTCTGGACTCCGCCATCAGAGACACCATTTCTTGCACAAAATCGCCGAACCCCTGCTTTCCACATAAAAAACAGAGCAACAGACGAAATCAAACTCACAATTCAACACACCATCTAACTTTTTTTTAAGAAAAAAAACCCAATCAACGAAAAGAAATATCCACCTCGTCCTCTTCGTCGTCAGGATCGTACAGGCCAGCGTCGTACATTCTTCGTTTTCTCTGGTCTGATAACACTGCATCCTCCGATCAAAGCGAACACAGTAAACAACAAAGACGCTATTGACACTGACATCTTCTTTAATATTATAAAATAATAACTAATGATTAATTCAAACAGAAATCCCACCCAGTTTTTTATATAAATTTTACCTGAATAGGCTTCTTGAATTTGCTGGAATTTCCGCTTGGCTTCACCCAACAAAGAAGGAGTTCTTGTCCACCTGTCCGGATGCCATTGCTGCATAAAATAAAAAACAAGTTGACCAATACAAACCTTCGTCAAATATATGCAGACTTCATATATTTCACCAAAATCTGGGAAGAAACAATGTCTTCCAGAAACACAAAAATCCAATAAAATCTAAACTAGGTTGGTTAAACTTGAGGATTCAAACTCGTATGCGTCGCTCTAGCCAATGTGATTACGCCCCCGTCTATATATATATAATTTAGAAAAACTGAAAAGATACGATATTTGATTAATTTTGATATAGCTTGACTTACCATAGCCAGCTTGCGATAAGCACGCCTTATCTCTTCAATGGAAGAATCCGAGCTGACACCAAGAACGCTGTAATAAGATGGAGACCCCTGAATCCGATCACCCTCCATCTCCATCAAAACCAAACTCTCGTAGCTTCTTCAAATCCCAAAATTGCAGCAAAACACTAGTTCCTCAAATAATCTTAATTAACCAAATGCTTAGTCTGTAATTAATTAGTGACGATTGACGGAAAAGATTACGAGGGAAAGGCGGTGGTTGCGTAGTTTATGATGCAGTGATAGATCGGTCGTACATGATATGTAGGAGAAACAGAGCCGAAATATTTGCTTGCCTTTTGATTTTTAACTCAGGTTTCGCAATCCGGAACGTTCCGGAAACACTTCGATAAACGTGGAATTTTCTTTCCCTAGATTTTTTCGGCATTCAGATATTTTTCTGTTTCCATGTTAAGTGCTCGGTTTGGTATGGATTTGTATGCTGGGGTATTGTCCAGCTGACACTTGTAAGTTCACGTCTTCAAACGGAAGGAAAAGATCCTCACAGGATTATTTTCCTGGGATCCGGAAGATTTCATAATCGTAATCGTTTATCGTACATTGTGCGGTTAAAATTTATTTTAAATTTTTAATTTTCAATTAAATATAAATAGTACCTAACAAAAACTGAGCGCATGATGTACAATGAATGAACACGATTACAAAATCCCTGAATCCCCATTTCCCGAACGGAATCTACACACGTACCATTTTATAAAGAACAATCCTCAAGCTTATTCATTTAGGAGGATGTATTCAATTGGGAATTTGAGATATTTAAATAGATTTAAAAAATCTATGGCTTTTTATTGATAAATTGATTTGTAGAGATTCCATATAAAATTTTAATTCAATTCTCTCAAAATCTCATGGGAAAATGAGAGATTTGTGGATGTTATACACTACAAAATCTCTCTAATTGCTCAACTTTTTGAAATTCTTTAACATCAAATTCTAATTGAGTACATTTGGAATATTATAAACTTCTTTAAAATCTTAATTGAATACACCCATATTTCTAAGAATATTAATAAACTATCTTAAAATCATGATTGAATACACATTTGATTTTATAGAATCACTTAAAATTCTGATTGAATACCCTTAGGTTCATTAAAATAATTAAAATTCCTCAAAATCCGAATTGAATACATCCCTCTTAGTTAAAGGGCATATGTTATACCACTCATTGTTACCGTTCGGCTCAATTTTATTTCTTATTTTTTGCATTGGTAATCAAATAGTTAACGAGATATTTAAGATGGTATTTCTTGGTGTATGTTTTTCGCAAATAATATAATGTTGATAAATGAAACGCATGAGGGAGTAAATATGAAGTTTAACCTTTAGCGATAAGTGTTATAATATAAGGGTATTTGTCTAAATAGGTCAAAGCCAGAATATATTCAATGCAAGTTTAGTCAAAATAGAGGTCCAAATGAGAGATAGGTAAGGATTAGAGATATGAAAGTAACAAATGGTGAACGTTTTCGCTATCTTAGATCAATTTTATAAGAGAACATAAATTTAAATGAAGATCTCAACAATGAAATACAAGCTAAATAAATATAATGAAAAAGTGTATTTAATGTATTATGCGACCATCCTATGTGACTCGTATAGTGCTCCTTTTTCAAGAGGATTCTTTTCACAAAATTTTTAATAGTGATATATATGTTAATTTATCTTAGACGTTGTCACATCACCTACTAATTTAATGACAATCATCTAAATTTTAATCGACTTGGGCTTGCTGTTTGGATCCCTAACTTTTATCAAAAGGCCCAACAATCTTTCCATTGAAGGTGAGGTATGGCTGTACGATTTCTCATACAGATTCATCAGCATTAGATTAGATTAGTTAGTTCTTGTTGTTTTGACAAGAAATCAAATCATAGCTCAAACAATACAACTGGATTGTTCGACAAGAAAACAACTCCTGATTGAGTTTGGTTTGCTTTGCCTTTTACTATAAATACACCGCGGTGTCGGATGTTTCCATCACTCAAATTCCACTAAACAAGACAACCATGCCTCTAATCGCATCCAAACCATCCTTAATCTCCCTCGTCGCCGCCGTTCTCATCATCTTGGTGGCCCCAATCCCATCGCTGACCCACGCCGGAAAGCCCCACCTCATCAATTTCCGATCCCCCAACCTCTTCCCCGAAGGCCTCGCCTACGACCCATCCGCCCAGCACTTCATTGTCGGCTCCATCCGCCACCGCACCATCCACTCTGTCTCCGACGCCGGCGTCGTCGATACTCTCATCTCCGACCCCACCCTCCCCGACAACGTCACCGTCCTCGGCCTCGCCGTCGACAAACTCAACAACCGCCTCCTCGCCTGCATCACTGCGATGGACCCGCTCCCCCAATTCCACGCGCTCGCTGCCTACGACCTCCGCACGCGCCAGCGCCTCTTCCTCGCTCCCCTCCCCTCCGACGACGACGGGCCGCGTCCGGTAGCGAACGACGTCGCGGTGGACTTCAAGGGCAACGCCTACGTCACCAACTCGGCCGGCAACTACATCTGGAAGGTCAACGCCCAAGGGGAGGCTTCCATCTTCTCCAAGTCACGCGCCTTCACTTCGCAGCGCGTGGACCCCGACTTGCCGTACAGTTACTGCGGCCTGAACGGCGTCGTTTACAACAGCAAGGGATATCTCTTGGTGGTGCAATCGAACACCGGTAAGATGTTCAAGGTGGACGCCGACGACGGCACGGCGAGGCTGGTGCTGTTGCCGAGGACTTAAATTTCGCCGACGGGGTCGCGATCCGAAGCGACGGCGTCGTTCTGGTGGTGTCCCACAAGACACTGTGGTTCCTGAAGAGCCAGGACAGTTGGGGGGAGGGCGGAATTTATGACAAAATTGCCCTTGATCCGGAGGGGTTTCCGACTTCGGTGGCGGTCGGGGGGGAGGACAGGGTGTACGTGTTGCGGGGGCACGTGTTGGAGGGTGCGAGGGGAAATGTGGAGCGGGAGGAGTTTAGTATTGGGGAGGTGAGGTCGGAGAGGGAGAGCAAGGAAGACGGTGTTTGGATCTTCGTTTTGATCGGGTTGGGATTGGCTTATTTCTTGTTTTGGAGGTTTCAGATGAGGCACCTCGTTGGCAACCTGAACAAAAAAACCAATTAGCCTTTTGGAGGCTTTTTTTGTTTTGTTTTTTGGTTTTTCATGTTTTTTGTTTTCATTTTGTAGATTGCTATTTTAACACTTGTAAGTTGTTTGCTCGTTTGATGAAATAGAATAAATTAGTTTTTATCGTACTTTAAGCTAACGAAATATCTATTATGCAAAATTAAGTGCAATGACATTCTAGAACTTCGTACAGCTGATCCTATTTAGTAAGATATGACATTGTTATTGTTATCGTGCACTTGATCTTCCAAAATACAATGCCATGTACCAACATTGGAACAATTATTACAATATTTTGTTGAAGAAAATGAATCAGCTAAACACAAGTGATATTTCTACTCTAAACTACTCTAAGAGGAGAGAGAGGGTTTGAATTAGAGTCGAAATGAGTTGAAGAAGATTATAATCATCAAGGCAATCCACCACTAGCGTTTAGGCACGATCAACAGGATTTTTTAACCTCATTTGCTGCTCATGCGTTTCAAAATTATAAAATATTCGGTTTAAAGTGCTTTTCCTCTTTGTCTAAAAAGAAAATTCTAAATTAGTTTGACTTGATTTAAAGTGTCCAAAGTCGTTAACTAAGGAGCAAAAATATTCATGCACTCATAGGTAGGCCTGTAAACGGATTGAGTTTATTGGGTTTGGATCGATTCAACCCAACTTGTTAAGCTAACAGGTCATGCGAACCCAACCCGTTAACTCCTCTTTTTTTTTTTTTTTTTTTTTTTTTGCATTCCAATACAATTACACGTATTAACTACAAGGATGTATAAAAGGGTGCTGACTTGAATATCTAGTTCAGTTTTTGTTGCACATTAGCCTTCCGCAAGCGTTGACCCAAAGTCTGGCATCAACCTACACATGAGCCTTCCGCAAGCGTTGCAAAGATGGCAAGCCAATGAAGGTACTTCTAGGATGTTTGACGATACGTCCTTCTCTCAAACTCAATAAAGCATCCCTTCAAAACCTTCCGGATTTGCTGACTCATTTGATTCAATGGATTTTTGATGATTAAAAAAGAAATAGCCTACAACATTTTGGAACCAAGAAAAAGAAACTCGAAAGAGTTGGGATGCGGAAGATATGATCAAGTAAAGCAGCAGGTATCACAAGAAAAAGAAACTCAAACATCCTTAACTAACGGGTTCATCCGTTAGCGATCCGACCCGTTAAGCATCCATCCAAATATTAATATTAACGGGTCGGGTCCAAAATGTCAGTTCTACTCATAGGTTCATAAAGTTCTCAACTAACAGGGCAAAAGTCCGCACCAAACAAAAAGTTTGATCAACCCCAACAGTGGGATGACCATTTATCTGAATCGACAATTACCCATCTCAAGGGAGAATTACTTCAACAGGTGGTAGCAATGTCTGAGGCCTTTTCTCCTTCGGCGATGGCGGTGATGGGTAAGCCTCCTTCCCGTCATTGGTTTTTGGCTTTGACAAACCAAACTGCTCCCTTATCTTCTCTAACTTTTCAAAAATCTTCTTCCTGATCTCGGGATTGACAACACGTGCTTCCGCAGGTTCTACTGGAAGAAGGATGACTGCTGCCAGTGTCCCAACAGGCACAGATAACATCACATTTCTTCGTGAAACTCCGAAGGCTTTCGGAGCCTCCACTTTTTCTTTTCCCTCACTTCTCAACTGCAAAGATAACATCACATCTCAGAGATGAATTGAAAAGTAAAAGACAAGTAATTGTTCTACAATCCATCGCGGTTTCAGTTTCTGTAAAAGATGATGCTCGAAAGTACTAAACAATGAAAAATCAAGTTGCAGCCTACTTACCTTACATCTCCGGGCCTTATGACAATTAAGAATCAAACTGAAAGACCGAACAATTAAATCCGGCTTGTTGCAACTTAATCACTTTTCGACAATACAGTTCAAAGGGACCTTAATAACCTGAAGTACAATGGACAACTGCCCATAAAACCAAAAAGACTCATCCTACTACAAAGCCAAATTTAATCCATCTTCTTAATTCGTGATCCACTTTATCTGTGAACAGAAAAATTTATCAGTGCTTAGACCTTTGGGATGAAAACACTGAAGCTGGAGATGACAAAACAGATCATATGTTCGGTCCTTCTTACTGAGATCACCATGAATTCATCAAGACAAGCTTGATTACATAAATTATTAAGCATACATTGTGGACAGAAATTAACTCTAGCAATGTGAACCACAAGGCAAAGATTACAACAAATGTGGCCCGCCTAACCGAGACCTAGTGTCAAAATCTTCCTAACTTATCTCCACCAAAAACATACGATTGCTAGATTCTATGGACAATAAGTGTGATTGTCTCTTCTCTGCTTGAGTGAAACTCCGGATAGGCGGATACGGAGTTACAATGAAATAAAATGCCAACTATGAAATTTAAGGATGCCACGGCCCATGGTTTAACATCATGCTCTTAACTTGCTTCGATATGGACAAAAGTAAGTAGATCAGCTGCTTGGAAATAACTGTAACTTATACAACCAACGACGGTAAGGGGTACCATTATGAAAAGATACACTTAGTTTCACATGGCACGAGACGATAGCTTCCCATAACAACTGCATTGCAGTCTGCACTCGATGACGCAAATTAGTTATTTCCTTTGAACCAACTAACTGAACTAACTGCAAATAGCTCTGTAGCCTCACATAACATAGGCCATATCAGCCAAGTTCTCGAGTAAAAAAGAGCTAACCCTCCCTCATAACAAACATTAGAACATCAAAAAAGTGCACGCAAACCTTACATCTTACAGTTTAAGTTTCTCGCTAAATTTCCGGAAATAAGGAACATAATTGCTATACTTGGCCCAAAACAAAGCGTAATGGCATTCTAGAATTCGTAAAGCCGACCCCACTTAGTGAGGAAGGCTTTGTTGTTGTAAGGAACATAATATACTAAACTAAACTAGTCATTCATTGTTCTGAAATTACTCATGTCTTTGATCTGTAAATACGTGAACTAAATTAGTAACATTACCCAATAAAGGAAAATCCAGATGCATTTCCAGTTGAAAACTTCACAAATAAATTATAAAAATAACAAAAAAAAAATTTGAATTTTTGTGACTGAGGTGAGCTGGAATAAACAGGGTCAATCGATTCAGAGAACAAATTTTATTATTAAACACAATACAGATCAAAAGAAAAGAACTTTAAGCAAACTAAGTGAGTTGAAACAGTGCAAGTAGCAACCTGAAGAGGAAAAGCTCTCTTCTTTGTGGTGGTGGTGGTGGTTGACACCGACATCGAGCGCTTCGTGGGCAACTGGGTTTCCCCGACCGCCGCCAGAAGACGCGAACCGCCCACCACATTGCTGCAACTAGAGAATGCCATCTGTCTCTCCCGGCAAAGATCAACGGTCTCAAGGCTCGAACTAGTTATTTATTGCAGAGTTTGAAGGGGAAGAAGACCGGACTCCGTGGAGTTGGAGGGACAAAAGGTCGAGATGGGCTGGTCTTTGACGGCTCAACTTAATTTTTGGTTCTGAAGTTATTGGGCCTTGGGTAACAATCTTTTATTGATCCGGCCTGGTTGTATTTATGAGTGATGGTTTTTTTTTTTTTTTTTTGTCGAGTTAAACTTCTTATTTATGAGTGATGTTATACTCAGTGTTTAAAATATTAGTATCAGAGAAATATAGATATACAAATTTGTGAAAATATTGATAGAAATTTGGTCAAAACGTGGAAATTCAAAAAGAAACTTTAGAGAATATAGTTTAAACAAAATTTAAGAGTTTCTTTGATATTTGATTGAAATGTCAGAAATAGAGACCAAAACTGTTAATTTAAAAGTTTCTCCAATATAAGGTGAAGTCGGGCTCGTTTGAATATGCTTTTAAAATGACTGAAAGCGCTTTTGGAGAAAATGTTTTTAGGTTCCAAAAGCACTTATATGTCTGCAAGAAGCACCAGTTATGTGTTTCTTCCAGGAAGCACTTTAAGTGTTTTTCTAGGATTTACTTACATTTTTACGAAAAATTGGTTTTAAAAGTATTTTCACCAAATGTGCTTTTAGTTATTTTAAAAGTACATATAAACGAGAACTAAACTTCTTCCTCTTTTCATATCTTTTTCTAATTTTTATATAATTTTAAGAATTATTGAATGTATTGAAAAAATTTCAAACGCTGCTCATACTATTTTCACACTCACCTTTTGACTAAATGGTATATGATAAATTGGATGGGACTACGACTTGTATATTTTTTTGGAAACCTAGCTTTCAAAACGTTTTTACAAGTCGTGGTTCGATCCCCACCCACGCTACTAATACTATTTAAAGTAGTATCCTTGCAAAATTCGTGGAAAGATGAATCATTTAATCATTAGGAGCATTTTTCCTCAACACAGTAAATTATGGTGTATGCTTAGCATACATCTAAAAATTTATCACGTGTTATTTCACTTAATTTTGATTTAACTTTTTTTTAAATTGAAAATGTAACATTTAATGTGAAAGTTAACTAGAGTTAGGTAAAAAGATACGTGTCAGATGATTAGGTGTATAGTAAGTATACATCATAATTTATGGTGATGAAAAAAAGACTCATTAATAAAATATTGTTGAAGCACAAGATTTTCCTCCAAAATCATATCAATTACACAACCACATTCCAAAATCATATCAATTACACAACCACATTTGAAAATGGAAATGGCAGCTCCCTGTAGTAAGTATGACTTTAAATTTTGAGGATATGTGAGAACGAAATGCATATTAGCCACAAGATTGAATTAGGTTAAGATCTAAAGTATTTGACAACTTAAAAAAGAAAAATCAACTTAAATCCATGAACCTTTAAAAAACTCATTTCATTGTTTTGTTTTATTAAGTTATCAAATATTTTAAGTCTATAAACTAATATACTCTTATGGCTAATTTGCATTTGATCTTCGCAAGTCCTCATTTGAGGACCTTAAGAGAGCATGACTCTTTAATTTAAAAACAACCAGCTGGAAGTAGTAGAGTACTGTGTTTTTATATATTTGGGGATGGAGGGGCAACCACATATCTTGATTGATTGGAAACCGAGTTTAAACACACTTCACTTTGTTCACCCTCCAAAAAAGAAAGAAAGTTCAAATCAGATAATTTAATTGGTAAACCAGATAACAAATACTACTAATTTGTTATAAAAGTGAATCAGATCATTTGAGAAACAAAGGAATCTAAAACTGCGGCGAGTACAGTGGTGATCTGTGTGGGTAGGGAGATGGATGAAATTAGACTGGAGACCTAGAGTTTTTTTTTTTTTTTTTTCGAAAATAAATTTACGATTAGTAAGAGAAGGAAGAGAGTTCGAAATTATTATATTAATTTAGGAGAGCGAGGAAGTTTGGAACTCGGAACGCATGGATAAAAACTCAATACCTTATCCACTAGAATATTAAAGTGGAAATTCAGAGTTCAAAATCTTACTTTGTATCGGATATATAGGGAAATGAATTATAATATGTGCATATAATGATAAATTTTGATGAATACTATGATTAATTTTCAAAACCATATAAATTTGGTTAGCATAAAAAAGGTTTATGAATTTCACATTATATACTGGTAACAAAATAAAAATACAGGAAGTTCACATTAGAATATTAACAAAATTGAATGACTTATGTTTAGTTGTTTCACATCTAATTACACTGAGACATTTAATGATACAAACTCCACAATATTTATCATGTTATGCAAGTAATATATAATGCAAGCTGGGAAATAATGTCAATGTAATTATATAGTAGTGAATTGTTGATCCTTTGATGTTCACTCCAAATTTTGGCATTTGTATCAAATCGAGCCTCTACGTAGCAACTGATCATGATCCTCCATCGTCCCTTCACTGGGAGTTGAGCCTCCATGCATCATCACAAATCACATGTTGAAATTTGTCAAGAAATATCAAATTTATTAATTTGAAGAAAGAAAGAAAGGTTGATTAGATTAGGCTAAGAGAGACGAAGTGAATTACCTGGGCATAATCTACCTTTCTGATGAAAGTTGATCCGCTTCCTAATAAACTTCATATGCAAACATAAGGTCAAGAATCAAGATGTTGAATTCCATGCAAACCCTTGTCAAATGAACAGTATCTTGCTTATACCTCAGACTCGCTGTTTGTTCGACCTATCAACATTCTATGGTAGCAGGCTAGCTAGTCACCACTAGGTAAACCCTAAACCACATTATTTTCTAATTAATTAAGGACTTGCTTATACGGCTCATGCTATTTACATTCTACAGTTCAAACCAAGGAAATATGTACTACTTTAGTGTAAGTAGCTTAATCTAATTTGGTAACTACATTAGTTTCAATTCCAATTTAATTAGTATAACCGACATACACCTGAAAATAGAAAGTTGGTGGCCGCAAAATTCCAACGATTATCAAAATTATGATGTTAAATTACCACAAAAGTGGTACTTAGCAACTTATAGCCAGCCTATTACTATTTCTTTCAATTTCTTTCTTCTTCATATTTCAAAAGGAAAAGAAGGAAAGCCAAAAGATACCTAAACCACTTCCCAAATGAATCGGATAACTGCATATATATAAACTGGATTAGCTTGGGAGTTTTTGCTTTTTTTTTTTTTTTTTTTTCCTTCTAGGTTAATGACTGTTTTATGGATAACTCAATAAATTTATAGGTTACTGCAGTCGATCTCGATCAACTAATAGGTCATACTCCAAGATGCCACAGAAAAAAATAGCTAGTTACCTACTAATAAGCTGCCTTGTTTAACTTCTTAGATGATCAATCAAGTTGATTAATTTAGAAAGAAAAAACCATGATTACTTTCTAATTAGGGTTTTCAAGGGTACTATATATGCCTAACCTTTACCTTAGGTTTCAGGACGAACAGACAACGAAACTAAGATTATTTGCAAAGGGACTGCTCACTTGACAAGCATAGCATGGAATCCACTCACCCGTATCAAAACATATCAACACATCCGCGATCCTCGATCATATTTGTTGACTTTCTATATTTCTTTATTTTCTGCAAAAATCTCACACAAGTTATCATCCCATCTGAAAAAGAAAAAAAAAAAAAAAACCACAACAAACATATTTGATATGGACTAAGTACGTAAATCATAATGAAAAGGTTCCACTATATAATTAATTGACAGTATGAGGAGTAGCCCAAGATCATATATAAGCACATACCAAACATTGTCTCTCACCAATATGTGACAACTCTCAACATGCCCCCGCACATGTGGTGGATTTTCAAGCCTACACGTGGACAACAACTGGATGACGTGGAGCGCGTGTGGCCGTTGGGCTTCACACGTGGACAATCTTGCTCTGATACCATGATGAAATTTGAGGTTCCACCATAAAACCATTTGGCAGTATGTGGAGTAGCCCAAGATCATACAAGCACATAGCAAACCTTGTCCCTCACCAATGTGGGACAACTCTCAGCAAATCAAACTAAATAATTAGCACAACAACGGAAGAACGTATACGTACGTCAAAGCGGAAGAAGAGAGGGAGAAGAACGTGGTCTTTTGAGCAAGAGACCAAACTGGGAGGTGTACTACAGCTGCTGGGTTTGAGCTTCATTTTATAGAGATAAGAATGAACCTTTCTATGACTATCATTTTCAATTACAAATCGTTGGTGGAGCTTGCGAATTCTACACGGATCTTCATATCAGCCAAATCCTTACACGTGACATCATTGACTAATCGATATTTAATTGTTGTGTTTCCCGTTCATGAGAAATAGTTTAAAAAGTTAATGATAGGTAAGATTCATTGGTATAGGATCAACGGACGGTGTAAATTGTAGCACCTGCCACATTAGGGATTTATAGGACAACATACGTAGTCCGACATTCATGTCAAACTTTTAGCTACCACTGACTTTATAGCTTATGATTAATTTACAAGTAATGCTAAGCAGATTAATTTTTCAGCCTAAATTTTAAGAGAAATGCTAAGGAGATTTTCGAAAGTGGGAGTTTTCATAGACTGTCTTTCACCTCATGTTTTTTGCACAATGTTTGATAATATTGGCACGATAATTAACACTAAACTGTGAGGTGATAGAAAGTTCACGGAGAGTCCCACTTTGAAAGAATTTCCTAAGTATTTCTCAATTGGTAAATTAGATGTTGTGTTAGGGATAGTAAATAAACACGTTAATCACACTCAAATAATAATTCAATCGTCAACAATAACTTTATATAGTTTACAAAATTTGATTTAAATAATCAGTCTTTCTAAAATTACCTTTAATTCATTAGCTAGCTCACTTTCCACTCATTTGTTTCATGTTACTTTTTTGCTTCGGATGATTATATATCCACCTTAATTTGTTCTCATTTAACAGATTTCTTAAAAGTAACCCTTGATGGTTGGCTGAAATTTCAAGATATTTGAACAATAAATACACTAGATTTTTTTATGGGTCATTTTGATTCCAGTCCCTAATCAATCTAATTGTTAGATTGAAACCTTGTTTGTTTAAATATTTTGATTGATGTCATTAGCATCATTTAAGAGATTTAACTATGTATTTATGCATTTAATTAATGTCCCACAAATTATGAAATTTAAACAAATTCAAATAATATTTTTAAAGTACTTAAAAATCAATAATAGAGTAATATTGTTATTCACAAAATTATAGCAAAAAAATAATGTACCCACATAATTATTAATATATTTTAAAAAAATAACTACTGATATATTTTAAAACATAAAATAAATACATATAATTAGCATGTATACATTTAGCAAAATTAAAAAATGGGTATGAATAAATTAAAAAATATGGGTACAAATAAAAACAAAAGTTTAAAAAATATGGGCACAAAAAGAAATTAATATATGGGTACAAATTAAAACTGAAAGGAAAATTGGTACAAATTGAAAATGAAGTATATGACAAAAAATTTAGCCATAAATATAAATATACCATATGTAGCATTTCTAACAATAAATGAACATATTTAGAAATAAAAAATATTGTTGTAGTCATATTTAGAATATGAATGTGATTGTGTAAATAACAGCTATGAGAATGTATCTTCTATTCCTATTAGGAGTTGATTACCTATTAAATGTTGTAATCCTAAAAGAGTAAGGTTTTTGCCTATCCTACTACCATAAATAAAGGTACAATGGGATGATACAAACATACCTCACAATTAAATCACTCTCTCCTCTCTCTAATTGCTGCCGGCTCTAATTGTCGCCGGCCTCCCCTCTCTCTAAACCCTAAAGATCGTTCAATTAAATAGGCATACAGCAAATATTTTATTATTAAAATAATTAATGACATTTATTAAAACCTAAGGACATTGATCAAAAATTAAAAAGGAATAAGGTTTTAATTAATGGAGTAGCAAAAAACAGGAATGTGAACCTTATTTTTTTTTATTTTTTTTTATATATATATACAAGTGATGTAAACTCGTTTAAATTATGAAAAAGGAGTTCGAACTCGTGCGGAAAACACCACTCAAACTAATTTGTCTAAGATGGAGGCCGCTGCATATATAATATAAACCTAATATTATTGGAAATACATTTTTGTTTAAATATTGTAGGATGCATGCATGATTGAAAAAGGTTAATTCATCTGGATTCATCAATATAAAAATATCTGCTGGTGTGGAAGGGAACTAGGGTATTATTACAAAAGGCTGAGCAACGTGGTTTATTGTTAATTCATATACTTATTTATGATGAACCTGCGCTCTCCACTCTCCATGCATATGATGTCATATTATATACGTGGGATATACTTAATGACAATGAATCCCGCATTAATGAAATAAGGGATTTTGCATGCGCTTATAAATAGCTGGACTTCTCCCTATATTGCCACTTAGTTTTATGGTGAAACCTCAACTTCTTCAATCCTGCATTATACATGGGCTTAATTTGAGATCTCTCTCGGCAAATAATCAAAATGAGAAATAGCGTAACAAATAAAAACTTCAGCCTATATACGTAGGGCTTGGAAGATCATAATTCCTACTATATATATGTTGCTAGAAATCAAACCAACATTTTTATAACAGAAACTGTATATGCATTCTCCTTAAACATCTCGTTCAGCGATAGAAAACTGGAGATGGTTTTACTTGTGTTAGTTTGATCATGAGCTGTTTAATAAGTTTCTTTTAGAGTTAATTAACTGGATAAGCAATATATATAATCTGTTCATCAGAGATTGTAGAAAAAGGTATGTAGGCTAAAAATATATTGATACGTGAATGTGGAAAAAATGGAAGAGAATGCTTTTTTTCTCATTATCTTTCTCTACAAGATTACAAGGATATATATACATGATACAAGTGTGTAGATAGGACAAGGTAGCCGTCCTAGTGTGTAGGTAGGACAAGGTAGGACGGTTGTAGGACGACTTGACGGTTGTAGGACGGCTAGTGTGTAGGTAGGACAAGGTAGGACGGCTGTAGGACGGCTTGACGGCTGTAGGACGGCTAGTATATTCCTTATTTGTCTAACACTCCCCCTCAAGTTGGAGAGTGGATGTCAAGAACTCCCAACTTGCGTAACATACCCGAAAACTTTTCTTTCCCAAGAGGTTTGGTAAACAAGTCTGCCAACTGTTGTGCCGTACCCACATGCTTGGTCTCTATTATGCCATCTACAATCTTATCTCGTATAAAGTGACAATCCATCTCAATGTGACGAGTTCGTTCATGAAAAACAGGATTGGCAGCTATATGTAACGCTGCTTGATTATCACAAAATAAAATGGAAGGACCATCCAAAGGAATGTTCAAATCCTTCAACAAAAAACGAAGCCAAACTATCTCGCAACAAGCACCTGCCATGGCCCTATATTCCGCCTCTGCTGAAGAGAGCGAAACGGTTTTCTGTCGTTTCGTCCGCCAAGAAATCAAAGAACCGCCCAAGAATACACAATACCCAGTAGTCGAACGGCGAGTGATAGGGCAACCTGCCCAATCAGAATCACAAAACGCAGTTAACTTGGTCTGGTTGTCAGAACGAAATAATAAACCTTGACCTGGAGTAGCCTTCAAATAACGAACAATACGAAGCGCAGCATCCATATGAGATATCCTTGGCTCGTGCATAAAACGGCTTAGAACATGCACAAAATAGGTGATATCCGGCCGAGTGATAGTGAGATATATTAACCGACCTACTAATCGTCGATACTTTTCAGGATCCTTGAGAAGTTCTCCTTTATCAGATAATTTTGTGTCATCCATAGGAAAAGCAATGGGTCGTGCTCCCAAAAAACCATAGTCCTTGAGAATCTCTAATGCATACTTGCGTTGAGAAATATAAATCCCTTGTTTGGAACGAGAAACCTCAATACCCAAAAAATATTTTAAATCACCAAGGTCTTTTATCCGAAAATTATCACGGAGAAAAGACTTTAGAGAATTAATGGCACTAGTATCATTGCCTGTAATCACAATATCATCCACATAAATGAGCAAAGCTGTGAAAGAAATACCAGACTTTTTAGTGAACAATGAATAGTCAGCTTTGGATTGTTGAAAACCGGCAGAAATGATGGCACTAGTGAATTTGGCAAACCATTGGCGAAAAGCCTGCTTAAGACCATAAAGTGACTTGTGAAGGCGACACACAAGATTCTCCCCCTGTCGCCGAAGACCAGGAGGAGGAGACATATAGATTTCTTCATGTAAGTCACCATGTAAGAAAGCATTATTAACATCAAGCTGATGAAGAGACCAAGACTGACTAGCAGCAAGAGCAAGAAGACAACGCACCGTAATCATCTTAGCAGTAGGAGAAAAAGTGTCATGATAATCAATACCTTCAGCCTGAGTGAAGCCTTTAGCAACCAAACGAGCTTTGTAGCGGTCAATAGAGCCGTCGGAATTGTGCTTGAGTTTGTACACCCACTTACAACCAATGGGAATTTTACCAGGGGGCAAGGAAGTTAAAGTCCAAGTACCATTAGCATGTAAAGCTTGAAGCTCCTCAGTCATAGCACGTTGCCAATTGGGGTCAGTAGCAGCCTCGGCAAAGGAGGAAGGCTCCACAGTCCGACTGACAGAGTTAATGTAAGAAAAATGCCTGGGAGAGTAACGGTGATAAGAGAGAAAATTACAAAGTGGATATCACGTACCTTGTGTAGAACCGGGTTGCGAAGTCGAAGATGGGTGGGATGGCAGAATCACCTGCGAGCAAACGTAGTCTTTTAAATAAGATGGAGGTTTATGGGCACGGGAAGAGGTGCGGGGAAGGGGAGGAGTGGTAGGTAGTGGGGGGGTAGGGATGTCCATAGGTAAAGGGGCATGGGAAGGAACGGGTAATGGGGCAGCAAGGGAATATGTGGGAGGCGTGGAAGGGGAGGAAGGTGGAGGAGGGTGAGGCGTCGGGGCAGGAAGGGGTGGGTTATATGTAAAGTCCAGAGGGGGTGGGATGGGTAGGGTAGGCGAAAAGGATGGGATAGGAGGGTGAGAAACGGCATAAGGGAAAGTAGTTTCGTGAAAGATGACGTCTCGACTAATGAAAATGCGGTGATTGTCGAGATCGTAAAGGGTATAGGCCTTTTGTCCATGAGGATAA